TCAAAACAGACCCTGAGCTGAGCATTTGCGTCCAAAAGATTCATTAAAGGAAGTACTCCCAGGATCAACCAGGAAGGGAATTAGGGACAGAAGATAGGAAAGAGGAAGAAATCATGCAAAAGTCATTTCAACTGATCTCCCAGCCTCAGCCTGCTCCCATGGAGTGCTAGAGCATGTAAATAACATCCCGAGGAAGAGGGGTTGGACTTTTGTACTTACACACCCATCCATCATTGGCTACAGGCAACCTTGGGGTGGGCACGAGGGGAGAAAAATCCAGGCATTTTTCAGCTCTTCATACGAGCAATATGGCGCCCATGCCTGAAGGTAAGCTTCTGAAGCGCGCAGGTGCCAGCTCTCAGCAGTAAAACTCACATGTAGAAGTTGAACTTGTAAAAAGATATGAGGGGACCTGGGTGGGGCACCCATAGTGCTCACTACAAAAGTTATCATGAAGCCATTGTGTATCTTTCTGGAAAATGGTGTTACAGCGAACTACCTTATACTGTTGGCCTGAGAAAAACTGAAGACAAGGGTAGAAAAGGTCTTTCTTTAAATGTTTACATCAAACAATATCTCAGAAAAATGCACTCCTAAGTACTATTCTTGTTCACAAAATAGCACATACAGGCTCACTAAATTTAATGTGTTTGTGTTTCTGGGCTGAGTCCCAAAAGTAACAGCGCAATGTACTATTTATTATTAATCATGAGATATTTGACTTAGCAAAGCAGGAGGCTGATGCTCCTTTAGGCCACAGATGTAGATGTTTTAATTTCTCATTTGGTTTTGTATGAAAACATCCATCCCACTGAGGAGAAATGAAACACAAAGCCCTTGAAAAATCAAATAGAAAAGAACCATGAATCTGTTCAATGGGGAGATACAAGGGTTTCTAAAAAGAGAACCTATAGTGGGGGAAAAATAGATCATTTTGAAATATAACCCTGGGGAGATGCTCTGATGAGATGCAGATGGTCTATGTACCCAACGGGTAGATATCTGAACTGGGAGAGAAAAGAATGGATGGAGGAAGTCTTAGAATTCTCTTCAAAGCATCAGAGGAGAGTGTATAGCTTTGGAAAGTACAGGAAATAAATGAGAAGGAAGAGAGAATAATGCCCTGTGGATGTTTGATACTGAAATAATTTTAACCTTCATTATGCAGGATTCAAAGAGATGAAGGTATAGACACCATGGTTGATACCCAGAAGTTCTAATCAACACACTGCACCCAGGCTTCCAGCCCACCATGGGTAGCGATTACCAAAAAGCCAGAAAATAGAGTGGAATAATGCCTATTGCTCAATAGGGCCAAAAATGGGCCATTAGATTTCTTTGTGACTTTTTCTTTAAGGTGTATGAATTTGGGAACTGATTTTTAAAGGCAGTTGGGTGCTTTGTAAATAAAGGCACGCAAGGGAAAAGGAGACTTTTCCCCCATCTACAGATGAGGAAAGCAAGACTTGGAGAGATTAATTTTCCCAGGCCCTAGTTTATTAAGTGGAAGAATGAATAAATTTCACTCTTTATCCCTTCCACCAAACAAATATTTACTGAGCACCTACTGTGTGTTTGTTCTGGACGCTGGGGAATCAAGTGATTATTTGAACCTCTATTTATCTGATCCTGGAGGCCATTCTTTTCTCACCAGAGTCTCGTGACAAAACTCATTTAAATTTAGTTCATGCAAATTTGGATTACTCTGTGATTATGCAAGCTGGTCAGGAGATTTGCATGGGGAGGAAAGAGCATAAAAACAAACAAACAAAAAATATGGAAGACTTAATGCTAGGTTTATAGGCTTAGTAGGGACAACCCAGGCCATTTTGCCTGATACCTAAAAAAAATTATTCTTAACGTGATAAGCCAGAAATGATGACTATAATTATATTAATGTATGTTTTTCCAGTCTCTTCCTGCCCACCCCCATGGCTATTTAAATTTTTTTCTTTGGTTTTGGTTTTGAACAGTTTTATATATTATGTCTATGTGTGGTTTTCTTCTTACTTACCTGGCTTTGGACTTTGTAAATCTGTAGGATGATGTCTTTCATTTGTTTTTGACATTTTTCAGGTATTATCTTACATATAATTTTTGCTCTATTCTCTCTCTCCTCTTTCTGCGATGCCATTTACATGTATTTACCTACTCACAGTATCCTCAGTGTCTCATACGTTTTCCTGTACATTTTTCTACCTTTTTTGTCCTTGTACATTATTCTGATTTTTCAAAGTTATCTTTCAGTTTATTAACACTATTAAGCTATATCTTACTTGCTATTAAACTCAACTAATGAGTTTTTAATTTCTGTCATTGTAATTTTTCAGTTCTGGATTTCTCCATTGGTTATAATGTCAGTATTTTCAGTTTTTTACTGAAATTCTCAAATTTGTCTTTTATTTCCTGAACATATTCAGTATAATTATTTTTAAGTGGTGTCAAACAACTACATTGTCTGGATCATTTATAAGTCTGTTTCTGTTGTCTGTCTTTCTCTTGAATTTTAGCCATAGTGTCTTGCCTTCCATTGGACCCAAACTCAGAAGCATCACTCGGCTCTATCCATGAGCAATAACTGAAAACTAAATAATAGCTCTCCATTCTAAGATCTCATCAAGTTCAAGGTGCACCATTGATTTAATTATAGCTTTTTCTAGAGATTGGAGTAAAGAAATACTGCATGAAAAATACACATGTGACCTGATGTCAGACAGACTATATAATAAAAGAGAATGCATCTAAGAATTATAAAAATTTGGCAAAATTCCTCAGCCTTGAAGACCTGTTTGTCTATCCTGAGTCAGTTTCTCTTTAAGTCTTCTTTTAAATTCTCCTTAGTGAGAGGGAAAAAAGGACCTGAATTGTTCCAAGGCTTTGTTACCTCCAAGGACTCGAGAACTCTCCAATGATCCTGCTAGTTAAACCCATATTAAATGTAATAGAAATACCATGCATGAGGATCCTGCACATAGGAAGTCATGCGGTGGCCGCCTAGTGGACCGTGGAAGTACTTCCCAGGAGAGAAAATCCCCACTATCAGGCTTAAAGTTGAACTGATTTCTTATCTTCTGCTGAGCTGATGTGGCTAGAAGATAGTTCATTTTCTTTCAGTGTTTCAGGACTGGTCTTAAGCATCGCCTAATCGTTCTTGGCCATGATCCTCTAGCAAGCAAAGCTCAAAATGGATGAAGCACTACACTTGAATTACACAAATCATAGCCCTCTGATAGGCTAACTGGCCACAGATTCAAGTGCCTGCCAGAGCCAGGCAGCTAGTCGGGGCTGCAGCCAAGTGAAGAACACAGCCCCGTCTAAGCAGAGAGAGCTACTTCCCAGTGCTAGTTGATTGTTGCCATGGGGGAATACAGGCCTAGGGTTTCCAGATCTGAATTTTGTCAGAAGCTGGTAATACCGAGTTTTAAGAGAAATCTCTTGATTTTTATGTTGGCAACTAATACCATTTTCTAAAACTTGCAGGTATAACACACCATTCTTTTGAGATGATTGCAGTCTGTGGGCTCCTGTCGGTTGCTTCTGGGCTACATGTGCAGCACTGAGTGAGTCTGTACCACAAGAAGCCAGCCCCATCACTGGAGCAATTTGGAATGCTTTCTCTGCTTCTTCCCCACATCATGTTTTTTGGAAACATAAGCACTGGGCCTTTCTGAGTCCACATGAAACTTCAAGAAGTGCATTACCCTCCCTCTACCATATCAGTATTTTTGAACAACTCACTCAGTGAGGTCCCTTTCTTACATGTCAGATGGAGTTTTGGAGTTACCCGCCAGGGAAATTACTCATATCACATAGCCCAGAAGCACACAGAGTATCATTGAGATCATCTGCCACCTAGGCTATGGGCATGCTTACATACGTGTAACTTAGCTAATATTAGCAACCCATATAGGAAAATGATTAATTTTTAGTTCTCGAATATTTTTAAAGTATTATCTAAATGGAGATTCTTTTCTTGCCTGGAGGCAAGTTGCTTGAAAGGTAATTGAGACAGTTATGGGGAAAAAAAGTGTGTCAAATGCATAATTGTATTGCATGGGGACTGTTTTATAGGGATAGGCCTGTTTCTTAGGCAAAATGATTAAAAAGAGACTAGGAAGGCTGATAGAGTGATCGGTACCCAAATTCAGTAATTAAAGGTTTAATTCTTCAGGGGACTTACTCCGTGTCTTTAGCAAGTAATATTCAGTATTATGCCATAATCCACTTGAGAAAAATATTTTATCTATCTGATAGAATATTTTCAGGATATACTTAATATTCTATTCAGTGCTCAGAATAGCTGGTGATGCTATTTCTACTTAAAGTAGCTGTCTAACATGAATTAGAGAATAGAAGTACCTTTGTAATGACTATTGTTAAGTGTTTAGATGGAAAATTATATTTGGACATCAAGGGAAATTTCTTGTATCTGAATTTATATCGTCCTCTAATATTCTTAACTATAACTTTCAACACACTATATTCCTGAAGATGATATGTAAAATCTAAATAAATTCATTTCATCTATGCACTCTTGTTTCTAATCAGTTCTACTCTCTGGGTACAACACAAATAGGAAGTTGATGTGTTTAATCGCCTGAGCTTTAGTGAACAAAGGAGATACTACAACAAGACTGAAAAACAATAACCCTTGTATACGGATCATAAAATCTAGGTAAAATGTTTATTTTGTCCAGGCCTACTCAGCTCCCACACTTTGAGAAAGAAATGAACATGATCATACGAGAGCCAAATGTAGTGTCAAATTTATTTACATAGAGAATGGGATACTTTTAAATTTAAGAAT